TGTAGAATATCGAAGATGAATTTTCTTGTAAACTTGTACTCCATGTAATACAGATAAGGAACAAACATAAAGAATTTTATTACGCATAGCCCTAAAGATCAAAAGTAGTACATCTATCTTACCATGCAATTCGGCCATTACCTTCACAATAATTTTTACAAAATTATTTACATAAAGCCAACTTAAAAATAGAACAACGAAAAACCAACTAATGTGACCCCGACAATGGTAGACGCCTCAAGATTGGATGCACCATTCTTCTTAGTAGGTGATGACCCGTCCATGGAGGGGTCAGTTGGAGTGTCTGGAAACATCCCAACCGGAACAGGCCCACCAACGGGGCCTGCCTCGGCAAATCCATTTGAAGGAGAACCAACATCACCGCCTTCATTACCAATATCTTCACTTGGGCTAGGGGCAGTTGTTGTTTTGGGGATAATAGCTGCCTCGACGAAGGCTAGTCCTAAAAGAGCGAAAAATACTAAAGCAGCACCTTTCTTAGCCATTTTTCCTAAGACAAAGTTTACAAATGAATGCTCCAAGGTCTAAGATGAATCAAAGATATGATGTGCAAGATGTAAGAAGTATGTGAGATTGATATAGTTAAAAGAAAAAAGTTGTTAGAATTGTTTTATAAGGTATACGGAGTTGCGAAGTTATAGGAAACCTCCTATAGAATTGGTCATTTGTTAATGCAAATTTAGTGATTCTGGATTAAATTCATAGGAATTACTTTATCCAAAAGCCTATAAATACCACCACTAAATATAGATCATGCTAAAATTAACATAATTTATTTTTCATATAATATATATATATATATATATATATATATATATATATATTATGTATGATTATCATAAATTTACTTCTTATGAAAAAAAATTATTTTAATTAAAATTTATTTTATTAAAAGTTGATTATTTCTTTCAAAATTAATTTTTTTGATTTAAATTTAAATTAAATAGATAAATAAGATTAGTTCTAAAAAATTATTTAAATAAGATTATTAATTTTAATTAATAAATTTAAACACTTTTGTAATACATATATAGTGTTACGTATTTTGTTAATTTAGAATTTTAATGTAATTTGTTTCACATAATGTAAAAAGTTTCATATTTTATATCTAATTGCATACGTATTTTTCTGTATGTGCTACTAAGTCTCTCTTTTAGAGACCCAAAGTAAAACCTCAAGCATAAGTTTTTTATTCATTGTTTGATTTATCATTTATTTTTTATAATATTACGTGATAACTGATTTGTCGCATAAGAATAATTATGGTGACATGTGGCTTTAGTATAGATTTGTAGTTTGTGTTTTTAAATACTAAGTATAGATTGCCTAATAATTCCTTATTTTTATTATAATTAATCAAACTTAATTTTGTAGGATTAATGCTTTGGCAATGGTTGGTTTCTGTATCATTGGCTTAACACAATTAGTGATTTAGATTCTAACATTTGAAACCCCGAAAGGCATAGATTTAATCCCAGTAAATTTGTTTTTTTCTTTTTAGTATTACTATTATTTTTTATTATTAATAATATTGTTATTTGGTACGGTTCAACAACTAATATATTTATTTGTGTATGTGTTAGGAATGGTGTTATCGAGTTGGGTGTAATGACTGTTTTCGTGGTGCTTGTGATATATGGTCTCAAGGTCATGAAGACACACCATCTCTTCTAAGAGACTAAGACACACAATCAAACAATGGCAGCTGGCAGCAAGTATGTCTGAGTAGAGGAAGGATTTAATTACCAAAGCATAATGTTCAGGAATGATAGTGATTAGTTTGGGATAATGCTTTTTTGTTACATTGCACTCGATTTTTGTAATCTATATACATTGTATATGCTCATAATATGACTCTTTATTACCATTGAACTAGTGAGTACGGTAGCTCGGACGATGTCACGGATTGCTACTGTTGTAGACATGCAATCGATAAATTATTTTAAAGGCTTTTCAAAACTGTAATTGTCATTGTCAAATCAAAATTGAGTTATTCTTTTAGTATTAATTATTATTATTTTTAATTAAACCTTGTGCTTTGCACTTATATGATATTTTTTTTATATATTAATAATATAGTTAATAATTGGTTTAGATTGTTGAATAGTCTATCTTTGTTATAAGAGGTTGAGGGTTTAAACCTCATTATTCTTAATTCCTATTCAAAATTGTTGGCGTCAAAATAGACCTTAGTAATAGGGTTTTTGAGGTGTATAACCTTGCTCGATCGTAGATTAAGAAAGTCAACTATTAAAGACTCAAACCTTCAAGTTTATTTTGAGAAAGCAACATTGTTGAGTGGCAAAGGGCAAGAAAGCTCATGCTTAACATGCTCGTCATAGTTAACTAAGTTTATTTGGTTTATGTTGTGCTTGGATTGTTATCCTCTAATGCTTTAACAGTAATTCAAATGAGGGTAAATGAAAGCCATTTGTATATCCTTTGCTTGAATAAGTGAATAGTTTCCATTGACTATCTAATTAAGGAAGTTCACACTTCGTAGAATCGCGAGTATAATCAAGCCTTTTGTGAACTTACAAGTTGTTAGCCACTTTGATTTTTGTAGTACTTAAATGTTTTGTTGTTTATTTATGCCACTTGCAATGATTGCTCAAGGATATTTAAAATCTGTTTTTTTTTTTCTTTTTTTTTTTTTGACAGAAAATATTTAAAATGTGATGGTATTTTGTAATATCAAATCTCTTCATTAAGCTGTTCTAATGGAGGCTTAAACTGTATTTTAGCATGACAACTTAGTTCGTTGTGAAATTGAAAGTGGATGAATTTTCTCTATATATGGGTCCTTATAAAAAAACAAAAGGTGAGTAGCATTTCTTTACAATTGAAAGTCTAGTTGAGATCGTTTAAATTTCCATGTTGTAAAGTAGATGTACGTGAAAATTCCGGTTTAACTTAAGACCAAGTGAGTAAGGTCAATTAGAGTTTATAGAGTACCGCATAATGGAAGTGGAGTAGTAGGAGTACCATTTATCTTTATAAGAATTTTGATAGTCTCCTATGGACGATTATTAATCATGGTGATCATTTTTTTTTATGTAGGATTAGTAGTTATTGTTGGAGTGAAAAGAGGAAAGGTAGTCGACCTCTCACCTGATCGGGTGAAGCTCGCTCAACCGGGCGCGAGTACAAGTGTTTTTTAATACGTCCGGGCGTTCGGTCGAGCGGAGTCTATCCGACCGGGCACGAGTGCAAAGTTGATTTTTGTCGTTTGTTAGCCCTAGCGGGCGGAGCTTACCAACGAATCTTTCTCTTCCTCTTCCTCTTCCTCTTCCTCTTCCTCTGTAACTCCCTCTTGACACCCATAATTAATGGGATGTTTTAAGGGGTTGTTAACCCACCTTTATTTTTTATTAAGGCTTTGTCTCTTTGGATTCTTCAACTCTTGATTATCCCATCGTTCATTATATATTTTCATGATTGAAAAATCAAATTACTACAATCATAAAACACACTAAGCCAAACAAAATTCTCTCTTTGGGCATAAGTTTACTAGTCTCCAACCTCCCACCAAAAAGTGTCTTTGTGTGGGAGTGGTGTGTGTAACCTTAGGAAACTTACCGGCGAATACAATTGTGCATCTCGATTGCGCCGGATTTCGTTTTCAAGTCAGTGATTATTAGCACGCCATACCGAAATTTTTTGAGTTTTATTTTCTCTTCCATTGTTCATTTTTGTTGACTGTTTGTTCTAGACACCCTTATATTACAACAGTTATTTTCAAACTTTTCATAGTAATTAATAATCTCTCAAGAAGATAGTTGAAACACCATAATTTGTGCTAGAATTTATTTCCATAAGACCATAACCATGAGTTGGTTGAAATATGGGGGTGTTTAACACATGAGAGATATTTCTTTTATAGGTTTTGCAACTTGTAAGAAATTTTTTTGTGAAACTATGAGGTCCAAATATGTTGAATCAGATACTATTTTTTGAATGATCTTCGAATGTGAATTTTTAGAGTTACCTATGAGTATAATTCACATTACATTAGTATGATTATTCTTTCTTGTTCTTTTTAAGCTGTTGTCTATCCTACAGATTAGCAAAGGATAAATTTATAAATTGGTTCAATCTAATACTTTCTTGGTTATAAATAAGTAGATGAACTAAATATTACTATGGGATATCTCCAAGTAGTCATACTCCTCATAGATGAAAAGATCTCAAATTATATGGAGAGACCATGGACGGTTTAAGAAGGATAGAAATTTCAAAAGGTTTTTTTTTTTTTTTTTTTTTTTTTGGGTCGTGTAAATGGTTAACCAAGAATTAAACGTGGGTTAAGGGGTAGTGACATCATAGATGGTCTTATGTGGAGTCTGATAGTAAAATCAATTTTTAAAAAAAAATTACAAGAGTAATTTACAAGTTTTTTAATTCGCAGTAGTAATTTTTAAAATAACATTAATACGCAATAGTAATTGGCAAATTTTGTTCCCATTTAATTGACACATTAAAATGGCGCTGAGTTTAAGAATTGTTTGTGTGGGGGTGGGGATTATTAAAATATAAACCTCAAATTTGGTTAGTTATTTTATATAATATGTCAATTATTCAGGAATAAACGAAAAAGAAAGTGTTTCAATTATTTGAGAATAGAGGGAGTAATAGAATGCCCAAATTCACACTCGGGTACGGACTCACATCCAACCCAAGCACTTGAGTTAGAATACAACAAATTCATAGAATGGGCAAATTAACACTCTGCTACGGACTCATGTCCAACACAAGCACTTGAGTTAGACTGCTAGAGTAACACATCACTGAACTTATTGATTGCCCAATGATCACAATTTTTATAAAATCAACAGTCTCAATACCATAGAGGTGATACCAAGGCAGGTTTATTAAACTGCCAAACAGCAGCTTAAACGACTGAAGGTCAGAACAGCTAAACTGCATCGATAATAGCAAACACAATTTTTATGCCAAATTGGCCAAACTGCATAATGTACTTCCAATCTAATACTACTTGGAATGGATTATATAGACAAATTAGATGAAATATTTCATGTCTCCAGGCCCGCCAATGTTTAAAATGTCGGTACAAAGAATATACCTGTACACAATTTTACAGAACTATTCAAAAATAAAGTGAATCCTATGTACAAAAGATGAAGAATAACCTAGTTTTGTTTCAAATAAAATAAAATAAAAACCTAGTTTCTGTTGTGTGGTAAACTGCTAACAGCTGAAGTGAGGGTATAAAAAAAATAAAAAAAAATCCTCACTAAACTGCATCAGTAAATTTACAAGCTAGTCTATCACTCTATCCTAAAAAGAAAAATGAGAAACTACAATTAATATGCATAAGACCTGCTCCAAGCGCAAGAAAGGCAGGTCAGACTAAAAGCCAAGAACCAGACTTCTTTACATGGGTTAAATGAAAAATTAACCCATGCAAGCTACACTGCCTCTGGAATATGCTGCTATCTCGAATTTGGTCATCAATGTGTACTGGTGTCACCCAAGTTTACAAAATTTAGAAGCACCAGTATACATCAGAAGGGTGGTTCTTGAAAAATAGCCACCCTTGTTTACAGAAACAAGTTGTTAAGCCTTACAGGAATCATTTACAACAAAAAGCTATGACTCTCCTAAGTTATATCTACAGATACAAAGTGACGTGCACTAATAGCAGCCATACAAGAGTACATTAAAAGTTACAAGAAAATGATTACACTTCACAAATTTGATTGCAAATCTGTAGCATTTTAGTTATAAACAGTTAATAATATTTTCCCTTAAAGACACATTCTTCAAGCACAATCATAAAAGCTCCTCTGAAAACATGGAAGGCCATTATAGAGGAATTTACTGCAGGCAGCCATAAAACATCTTTCTCTGGATAATCAACATAGGCTGATTCAATCACGAAGCAAAGAGTGCTCCCTGAATAATATGACCAAAATTTTTAAGTCAAAACATGTCAAAGAAACACAGCATACTGTAATCTACCACTAACATTCAGCATGCTTAAGCATCGACCATTGCACCAAACAACTTTAAGAAGAATTAGAATCATATCCATAAACCAACACTGAACTTGATACCATAGGAATTATAACGACCACACATAATTTCATCCACAACCACAAAATGGCAGAAGCACAAAAAAAGTGGTATGCACAGATGTTGGACACATGTAATGGAATTCAGACAACAGCTGAAACTGATGACAAGGTAGTCTACTCATAAGTCATCACAACACATGATGACTACCAGGCAGTCATGAAGGATTCTATAGTCTCACTAAAAGATGTGATATCTTGAGCAAACTGAATGACACAAAATCATAATAATTTGGCTGGTGAGTTTAGAGACCAACCAGCAAATAAGATTCACACTGTTACACTAATCAAGCTAAATGTTCAAATTCAAAAGTATATTAGACACAGGCATACGGCATCTAGTGATGTCCATTAGTGAGCAAAATGGGAAGGAATAATTTCTTTTCCCTTATTCTGCCTTAAGTTAATACCGTACTTACTTTTGGTAGTGAAAATCCAGAACAGCTGCAACAAGCAGGAACCTAGAAAGCTTGGCCAAAATCAGAAAACTGCAGTAAGAAGGAGACCATGTGATAGCAAACATGAAGATTGATGACGGCCACATTTGACAGTACATACATGTGAAGATAACCAATTACTCTGATGGAGCACGTCTCCTCTTCCCATAATCAACATCCCTTGACCTGGACCTGTGACCATCTTCTGGAATAGCCCGGGACCTGCTCCTAGATCTTGACGAAGACTGTCCCCTGTCCCAATCATCCTCATAACCCGAATCACGTTCCTTTCGACGATGATCTCTATAGCCATCCTTGTCTTTTCTATGCCTGCGTTCTCTATCAGGTCTATCATAATCTTGCTCTCTCTCATCACGATATCTCCTCTCAGAGTTTCCAGACCAGTCACGCTCAGAAGCTCTTTCCTTTTCTCGAGGGGCAGCATTTGTCCTAGAACTCTTTTCAGGGTTTTCCTCCCCAAATCTATAGTCAGAAGCACCATCATCACCACCATAACTTGACTCTCTTGTCTTCTGCCCATGTTCTTCCCCAGCCCATCCACCCATAGCAGGATCAGCCCACATCCCCCCGGGATGTCCTTCCATTCCAGTGCTACCCATCATCCCCATTCCATTTGGTGTCATACCACGGCCAAAAAAGGCAGGGTTAACATGAGGAGCCACACCAGAAATACCCATAGGATTAACAGATGGAAAGGGAGGCATCATTCCAGGAAAGGCAGGGCCAGAAAAGCCTCCATACCCAGCTCCTCGGCCCATATATGATGGATCAAATCCAGGACCCATCATGGCTTGAGGATGCATCATTCCTCCACCTGGACCCCCAAATCCAGGGTTTCCAAGACCTTGCCCGAAATTGCCCATAGCAGCACCACCCATTCCACCAACATTCCCAAGGCCATTCTTGGGGCCCATAGGTCCTCTTCCCCTTGGCCCTGAACCACCAGGACCCCTAGCAGCAGCACCCTGTCCTCCTCGTCCCCATCCACCTCTTCCAAAACCTCTTCCTCCCTCACCAGCTGATAAGTTCATCCCACCACCTCTTCCAGCGCCCTCAGTTACATTTCTTCTTCCCTGAGGCTGAGACTGAGGCTGCTGTGGGTTCTTGCTTGCATAGGCAGCTCCCATCTGCTTCAAAGTTTGGGGTGAAGCAAAAGCCACTACACATGCCCGTCCATTGAAATTGTGTCCATTCATTCCCTCTTTGCATGCAGCAGCAGCAGAAGCATCATAAAACTCAACTTGGCAGTAACCTTTTGATTTTCCACTTGCTCTTTCGTCAAAAAATTTTATGTCCTTGACCTTTCCATAATGAGACAATACACTTTCAAGCTCCGCATCAGTGGTCCACCAATGTATCTCACCCACAAACAACATGGTTGGACCGTTATCCATTTGTGGCCGGATGATATTGTCATTGACCATCATATGGTCCATATTCATGTTTGCATTTGCCGACATCTGATTATATACAATCCCTTGGGAAGCACTTGGACCCCCACTTACGTGATTAGTAGCTTTACTAATGTCTGGAACACTACCTGTAGTATTTTGAGCAATAGGGGCCGAACCTTGGAACTCCATATTCCCAGAAGCAGTATCATGAATTCTCTTTTCTGGCCCCAAAGCCCCACTAATATGATTAGAAGATCCCATTTCTAGTTCTTTAACACCAAGACTTGCATTTTGGAGTCTTCCATCAGAAGCAACCCCGGAATTTCCCAGATTATGAGATACACCAGCTTCTTGTCTAGGTTGAGGGGTATTAAAGGTTTGAGTTTGGATACCACCATTTCCTACATTATTATTAGGAGGACCTTGTGCCTCAGACCGATGAAATTGCAAGAAACCCTCTCCAACATTGACCCCATCATAAAGATCCTCATAATCATCATCTTCTCCTATCATCTCCTCGTCTGCTAGAGCTGGAATAGCTCCACTACCCTGATATTGTAGCTTTTGAGCACCTCCATATTCCTCATCACCATAATCTATTTGTTCTTCAGCAGCTGGATCCATCTAAGTCTATTTTATAGCAACAATGCTAAGATGGTATCCTACCTAAATTTACAAATAAAAATACAGTGAAGATTTAATTAGACTGTCACAATATTAACTTACTATCCACATAGAAAAGCAATATGTTCTCTCATAGGTTCAACGTGACTGAAATCTCACATGCGATGCTCTATCTATACCAAACCAATGAAGAACATGAATCGCTTGCACTCGTTAGACATTAAGGCGAGCATCAACCAAAATAAAAAGCCACAAATCACTGCCTGACAAGATAAAGAACTGAAAGTCTGAAATAAGGGAAATGAGGCTCCATTTCAGCAAACTCCACTAGTATCAGCACAAGTAAAATCAGAAAAGCCATGCATTTCAATTCAGCATATATTCCTTTTCTAGCAATCAAATGCTTAAAGCAAATCACAAAACCAATCAACCATTCATGGCCAGTTGAGTAATACAATCCCAAATATCATACAAACAAACAAGCATGTGTGATTGTGTGAATAAATCTTAAAAAGGAGCGAAATCAAGCAAATCCAACTCTTAAATCATCAACTAAACAGAAAATCATCGAGATCTAACTCAATCAACAAAACACAATCAAAACTCATGAAACAAGTAGAAATACAAACATCGATATAGCAAAACAAGCAAATTTCTTCATCCAAACCAAAACCTTCAAAGCAATAGCCAAAATCTGATCGACCCACCATAACATATAGCATCAAAAACAAATCTAACAACTACCCACTTCTTCAGATCACAAATCATAAGTAACAACATCATACCCAGGTCACATAATCATCAAATCTCCTACCGCTCTACAAATCAAGTCATAATTTCAACCAATTAAAACACAGATCCAAATAAATACACAAAACCCAATGATTAAAAATATTCAAAGAACAGGAAGCAACTTAATATATATTAGAAAGAAAAAAAAAATCAAAACTTTAATTAAAAATTAAGATGATTTACTAACCAATTATGATTGAAAAGGATTATCAATATAAGAAATCAACAGAAACGATTATACCTTTTGATTAATCAATTTATGTACTCGTTTTCTGTATGTTATTGGGTGTCTCCGGTAGTCAGGCTCTGAGCAGCTCCCTGAGTCAGACAAATCAATTGGTGGGCTTTCTCTTTCGCTAGTTTCTTCCTAATGTTTATTTTTTCGTTTTCTTTTTTACGGGTCTTTTTTTTTTTCTTTTTTTTGGAGAATATCTACAGTCAAATCTCTTTTCATTTTGTCATTGTCTTTCTACGGGGCCTAAAAAGATAAGCTTAATCCGTATAAGGATACGTAGATTCATACTCTGTAAGTATATTTTACTCGATACTTGGTATATAGTGTATTCTCTCTGTCTTTTGAATATTTTTCATGTTTCTATTTTAATTCTATTAAGTTAGAAATAAAGACATAAAGTTATATTTATATATATAGGTTGATGAAGTTATGCATATGAGGATATAGAAAGAGACTCAGCAAGGGTGAAAACATATCAAAAGAGATGTGACTGGTTCAAACCGGCATCACAAAATAGAGTACGATATTCAAAAGAATGGGAGAATTATTGTTTGGTAAACAGTTATGTTGAGATTTGTTTGCTCTATACAACAACAAATAAATCTAGTATTGAAAATACTTGTATTCAAAAGACCTAAACAACATGAAAACCTCTTAGCTTCTCATTAAACATACAATCTAAAACGGTAATTTGTTTTTGTAGAGGAAAGTAGAATTGAGCTATCATTGTAACAAAGCTACTTAACATGAAACGGTCAAACGGGGTAAACTCTAATCTATGGGATTGGAGTAAGAGAAGAAAAGGTACAATCAACGAATTGTCATGAATTCGGAAGATTAATACGAAGTATTTGAATGGATGATGTAATACCCCGTATTTTTATACGTATTTTAATTTAAATCTGTATTTCATAAAGTATTTAAATAATTCAAAATGAATTATTTATGGTATTTTACTAATTTAAAAAGAATTATTTTAATAAAAGGTCCATTTTTATTTATTTTAATAGTTTTGAAAATATTTTATTTCATGATTTAGAAATTTTGGGGCATAAGATTTTATAAAAGGAAGTTTTAAAGTCAATGGAATTTTTAAGAAGTCAAATGACCATTTTGAATAGGAGAAGGGATCATTAAGGGTAGAAAGAGAATTTAAGCTTAGGAGGGTTTTAGAGAGAGGTATAAATACCCATCTTATAAGCAAGTTAAATTTTGCCCAAGGTGGAAAATACTCAAAGGTAAACTCTCTCTCTCTCTCTCCTCTTATTTTCTCTCTCTTTTAATTTTTCCCCCTCCCCTCTTCTCACATCACAAGACACACACACACACCATGCATAGGTGGCCGGCTGCCACCACCATCACCGGCCAACCACCACCAGCACTCGCCGACGGTGGCAGGCGTCCTCCCTCCCCCTTGTGCGTGTGGTTCAACAAAAAAAAAAAAACTCTTCTTTTGTTTTAAATTATTCTAGCCTTGATTCAATCAATATTTTTGGGTTTTGTGATGATTTTTTTATTATGTTTGATTATGATTATTATGTATATAATTTTCAGATTTAGTTTTTGAATCAAAAAGCCCCAAATTGAAAACCCTAGGTTTATAAATTAATGTATATTGATGGAAATTGATTATAGGTGATTGAAACTATTAAATTAGATGTTTTTAAACATAATTACAGAAATTTAACATGTTTTTATAAAGCTGGAAATTTTATATAAAGGTTATAATTATGTTTCTTGAAGAGATTTTTAAGTACCCATTGATTGGGAATAAAAGTAAGGATTTTTAATTAATTTTCAGCTTGTTTTAGAGGGTTTATAAGTGATATAAAGAGTGTATATATTGCTGGAAATTTATATTGAATAGGTATTAATGTCTCCTTGTAATTTTGGGTTGTAAGAGATTTCCAAGTGAGTGATTTCATTTAGTAGTAGCGATTTTGAGATCATATTCAAGGTATGTTCGCGTCGTATTCGGTAATTATTTAAGTGTATAGAAGCATGCTAGGCTTTGTATAATTAATTCCATGGTAGTATCATGATAGGTGTGAATTGGAATTGGTGATAGGATTGATGTTGGTGATTGATTTATGATGTATGAATAATTTATTATGGATTTATGATTGGAATTGATCATATTAGCATATTGAATATGAACTACACTTTTATTATTGGCATGATGAGAGCATGTTTAATTAAACTAAATGTTTAATTTGGTATAAAAAGGGAGCTTTATTGTAGTTCATATAATTTTTATTGATACTTTAAGCATGATGATTGAGCTATCAAGTGTCTTAGTACACGGGAATAAAACATTGTGCGGTGCCTATGTGCACTTGACGTGTTCTAAACACCGAGGGATAGGATTTGCGGTGCTTTATGCACTTAAGGTGTTATTTAACACTGAGATAGTTTAAAAATGATTCAACCTTAAATTATGTGGTCACTAATTATTTAAGAATTAAATTGGTATGTTTGATTGCCTGAATTTTTATTATGATTGATTGTGTTACGATTTAAGAGTCGTCACTAAGTCTAAAATATGTAAACAACGTAAATTGAAAGAGATTATGTACCAAAACTGTTGGAACGTATATACCTTGAATATGAACATATGGGGGGAGTTATGGGGTTTTATATTTAACCATAACTTCTACTGGGAGTACAGGACGTTGTATTTTCCTGTGATTATAATTATTATTATGCGCAGGACGTCCGTCACTTCATGTGACATTTGCCTACCCGGTTAGCTCCCGGTGTAGTTTACCTCAATTTATTTGGGGGCAGAGATTTGATGGGAAACTCGTTTGATGCTTAATCAAATTAAATAAGCAATTTTACCTATCCATTTCTTTATTGGTTGTGTTGTATGCTTGAAAACAGGTGCAACAAGGTAAATTGTGTGTTGATAGGATTAAAGTATGTTAGTGTGTACTGATTACGCTTATGTACTCAGCATTGTTGATTGAGTGTTGTATGTTTGTTTGGCCTTATCTTTATCCTGGTCCTACGACAACCCATTTCTAATGGCGAGTAGTGGGGACAAAGTAAAGAGGAGTTTTTCAGGTGTGATAGCATATTCATGATGGGCATGAGTGAAGAGCAAATCATATTTAGTTTCCATAAGAATACAATGTGGTTTGTTGCTTTGATTATTATATATTTTGCTTGTGAGACTAACGCAAAGGTTTTCAAATGTTTTATCTCGGTTTTATTAAGGAATTACAATGGTTCTAAGTTGTAGGTTGACTTTGTTTGACTTTGGTTTGACTTTACTTTCGTTTGGTTTGACTTTTTAAGTTGACTTGTTTGGAATGGTTTTTAAAGATAGTCTTCCATTGTGTGTCTTTGATAATTGCCTTAGCCGTTTTCATGTCTTAGAATTTCCTATTTCGTATTTAAAAAGAGCAAAACAGGTATTTTAAAGGAAATAAATTTCTAGGATGCTACAGATGAGTAGATAAAACAAAAGTTTATATTCGCTATACAAAGAGAATGATGACTAGAAGAAAATGATAAAATATTTGTAGATTCTTTTAAGTATAATGTCGGTTCATGGTTGATTTTCTAACTAGTAAGCTTGCTACGGAGTATGAGTCATTTTCAAGTCAAGTGTATGATCGATTTGGGTGATTGATTATTAGTTGCTAATTAATTTTAGGTCAGGTTTAGAATTACTATGATTCACCAATCTTAATATCTAGGTAATCTAATCCCTAGGGTAGTGCTATAAAAAATGTAAAGGATGAGTTTTGAACTTGAAAATGACTCTCATTAGTCACCTACCAAAATGAGTTAGGATACAACTAACAGAAATATATGCAACAATTAATAGATAATCTAAATCAAGGGGGAGACCATGACCCACCCTAGCCTCCCCTTGGTTCCACCACTGCATCCAACTTTTTGTTAGTGAGGGCCATTACTAACTTTCACAAATTTAACGGGATTTAGATGATTTTCGTTTAAAGGCAGTGCTAAGACCGCTAACAATACAAGGTAGTTATGTTTCAACAAAAAATTATAAGGTAATTATTTGCAAAACTTGTATTATTATATAGTATAAGGTAGTTTACGCACAAAAAACCCCACAAATTTATGCAATGATGTGATACAAGGGATATGGATTTAAATTATATCTAGTTTATACTTCATCCGTTCTAATAATATTGAAACAAAGATGGAATTATGCATTCCAAATCACATAGTTAAGGAGGAAATCTCAACAATATCAACTATTAATAATTTTGTATTAATTGACAATTAAAGATAATATTCCGTATGAAGTATTCAAAATTGTGCAATATTAAGTCAAAATTCTTTCAAAAAAAGCGTAAAAGTCAAAACATTGCAATATTGTAATTAAATATGTGGATCGCTAAACATCGCCCGCAAATCTCCACATAAAGCCCACAAATCTATATTGAATTTACCTTATTGCCCTAAACCTAAAATAAAAAAATCTAACCCATACCCACACTCTAATCACCCGAAAATACGGCAATGTTGAGGCGGCAAGGCAAGGACTTGGCGGCCACAGCGGCGGAGGGAAGGACGGCTCACGGTGGCAGTTTTTTTTTTTTAAAAAAAAATTTTAAAAAAAAACCAGAAGAGGTGGGGCGCCTGGCCAGGACGCCCAGCCCCTGGTGGTGGCGTCTGCTCCGGCCGCCGGGACCAGGGGGCTGGCGTCTGACCTGGACGCCCAGCCACGACGGTGGCGCCTCTGGAAAACGCCACAACCGTGGCTAGGCGTCCAGGTCAGACGCCAGCCCCCTGGTTCCGGCGGCCGGAGCAGACGCCACCACCAGGGGCTGGGCGTCCTGGCCAGGCGCCCTACCACTTTTTTTTTTTTTTTTTTTTTGTCTAATATTTTTTTTTTGGAAAATCAGAATTCTTTTGTTAATGTTTAATATTTTTGTTTTATGTGTTAATGTTTTTATTTTTAATGTATATATTTTTTTTTTAAATCAGAATTTTTTGTGTTAATGTTTAATTAAAAAAACAAAAACTTTAAATAAAATTTAAAAAAAAATTACAAAAAGTTTAAATAAAATTACAAAAAAAAAAGAAAAATAAATAAATAAATAAATAAATAACAAATTACAAAAAAAAAATAAAAATAAAAAAAAAAAAATTACAAAAAGTAGGGGTGGCGTCTGGACAGGACGCCACAGCCATGGTGGCGGCGTCTGGCCAGGACGCCACAGCCATGGTGGCGGCGTCTGGCCAGGACGCCACAGCCATGGTGGCAGCGTCTGGCCAGGACGCCACAGCCATGGTGGCGGCGTCCTGACCAGACGCCACCCCTACTTTTCGTAATTTTTCCCCCGGATTATCTCGCTTTCCGGCGACGATGACGGCTCTTCGGTGTCCCTCGACGATCCACTCCAGCTCCACATTCTTCGTGAGAGTGAATTACGGTTTCGGTAAAAATTAGAAAAAGGGCAAAAGAGTCAAAGTAAAAATATTTGTGGGCTTTATGTGGAGATTTGCGGGCGACGTTTAACAAATCCTTTATACCTGGTTATAGAGGGTGCAGTGATAAATGGTTATTAAATATACTTGTAGAGAATTGAATTTTCTTCAATTGAAATAGGAGATTTCAAAAGTTCCAATTATTGGATCCAAGAAATTTCTTATTTAGATTTTACTGTCATTATAGATTATACATACCAAAAAGTAGAACCATAGTGGGAAAAAAATTAACAGTAGAAGATCGAAAAGCAATTTATTGCGACCAAAACGCATAGGTATAACCAATTGACAATCAATGGTAGCAAAAATTCTATAAAAAGCATCCAATGGCAATGTAGATTGTAGAGTTGCAATGTACAGCTTCCTAACAAAAGAATTACTACAGGAGAATTCAAGCTTTCTTACTAAATAAATTTCTAATTTACACCACTTCCCAGTTGCTCTAAAACACATAAACCACCTTGATGAGTCATGAGCATGCATAAACTGGAGTCCTAATGTTGGAAGTGGAAATCCCTAAGCCAAAATTGCCATTTGATACAATGCAACTGAAGTATTTCGCTGCAGTGCTATTTGCATCAGTACATCCCCTTGAAAACAGGATTTGTGCGACATATACTTGCCCCATATTCTTCATACTCAGCTTTGGTATGGCAAGCCTGCACATAACAGAGTTTGCTTATACAGTTATACATTTTGGTGAGTAAACAAGTAGACGACCATCTTGAGAGCATGAAATTAATCCAGAAACACTAATGGATAGCAATAGCAACATAGATCAATTTGTGTATGGATCTTTCCATATATACAGTAGGAATCTGGGATCTTTCCATAGATAGGAATTTGGGAGGTCAAAGTCTATGCAGCCTTTACCCCTTACCAATATCCAGTACAGTTTAATTTAAGAGGAAGCTGTTCTCCAAGCCCCAAGGACCAGCATTTATTTCTTGAAATGGAGTCATGAAGGACAAAGTAGCAGTAGAGTTACGCAAAAATTTTTGTATGTAACATGATAACATTGGCAAATTGCAATAGGGTCGGGCAGTCGCATGATAATTAAGCTAAAAGCAACATCAAGTTGAATAGCAACTTCAAATTAAAAGGGAAGCAACATACTCCAAAAAACTCAGGAGTTGAAGCAAGTACGGATCCCCCAAACCATACTGCATATCTCTGGATAGGATGGCTCACTACGTTGACTTCCACCGGTTGTGACTGCCAACAAATTGAGAGATCAGGCACATAATGCTGAAGTTGCTAAGTACTGACATATATTATTGGTTTTCTTACCTTCATTCCTCCAGTAAGCCGTGCCTCAGATGCAAGAACTCGAGCATCAACAATCTTCTTTATATCCCTTTGCAACCTACGGTGGAAGTCCTTGAACATGGTTGAGCCACCAGACAACACTATATTCTGGCACATTCCACATAATTAGTTAGGCCCAAAAGTAAAATTCCAAGCTACAACAGTACAGCTTAATACACCTAGAGCAGAGTGACACATAAATATAGCCAAAAAGTGTTTTCTTTGAAGGAATGAATTAAAATCTTAATTACTTCATATCGACCTTTCAACCAGAGCATATAACAATCTACCTTGTACAGTGCTCGTCTGGTGTCAATTGGGGCAGACTGGATACACTTGTCAATCACAGCTGGTAAAGGAGTGGTATAATCACTGTTGTATATCTCTGGGTTGAAAAAAACCTGTGAACCATACAGCCAATGATAAGCACATAGTAGCTTCAAAAGGCGTGAGGGTAGAAAGGCACACAAGCATATTAGAAACAATAATAAACAGAATCTCTGAGGCCATTAATCTTAAAACACATACTTGAATTTATTGTTTGCTTGCAAGACTGGTGCTATACATCAAGACCAAAAAATAAATTTACAATGATTCTTCTCAATGGTACCAGACAATCGTAATTTGTCCACAGGAATTGGGGTTTAAACTACAGCCACTGATCCATCTCATATAGCACTAAACATTAAATCAGCCTTAAGATTACTACATCAAACCAGATTGCTACCTTGAATCAAACTCCCTCTTCCCTAAAATGATTATCACCCGTCAGATAAAAAAATATAAAGGCAAGCACCTAAAAGGTGGCATAAATAAAGGGTATAAATTTAATAATTGCAGAAGTCAAGTTTTTTGATCCAGGATAAGTGGATAACGACCTTGAAGCAACACAACTAGCAGTATATGGCATAATCAGATCTAGTCCTATTTAAACTCAGTCTGTTTGAAGGAAAACATTTTCTAGGAAAAATATTTTCCTGCCTTTTGTTGCTTGGTTTGTAAAGGGGTGGAAAACAATTTCTCCAAAGGTGGAAAATAGTTTTTCCAAGAATTGAAAACCTTTTCCTTTCGAAAGGAAGGTATGTCACATTTTCCTCCCTACTCCTAACATTCTTTTCCTCTCCTCCCTTACACTCCTATTTTCCTTTTCCTCTTTCTCCATTATCTTTCTTGTGAGGAAACGAACAAAGGAAAGTTGTTTTTACAATTATGTTTTCCCTTTAAAATTGTTTTCTTTGAGAAATTATTTTTTCGAATAATGTTTTCCATTGAAATAAACAGAACCTTAAAGTTAAAAAAGTCCCCTTAGCAATAAATACAATTGAAGCCAATAAAGAAACAATTATAACACTGTGATGCAGACAAAGATGACATGTATAAGCAAATTGAGATTTGAAATTTTGAGGCCATTGACAATCAAGAAAAGTCATAGATAAAACTGTTTTCTCCTATCATTTTACATGCATCAGAAAGCCAATCAAACCAAACAGAAAGAAATTCAGTTGAAAAGTCCTTTGGACTAAAAAATTCCAGCTTCCAAGAATAAATCTAGTAGTTTTTTTCACAGACCATTTGGTAGGAAGTAAATGGTGGATTTGTGTGTAACTTTGTAATGTAAGGAAAGCATCACGGTCAACAGATACTTCCTCTGTTTGAGCAGCACCGTTGTCTTTTCATAGTCAAACATTATGAACTTTGAGAATTTATTTTTTCTACTATTATATACGAAGAGATATAATCATGTTAGGTTTAGATGAGACACAATGTATATACTCAATATATCAGCCTGTTGTGATTATTTACATTGCAAAACCAAAGTTATGCATGGTCAAAGGTGTGTATTTCTTTTTAGCTTACCTAATGAGTTATTCAAAAATCAACCGTTACATACCATTATAACTTTGACAGAGCAAAACTATATCAAAATCCGAAAAACCAATCCTTTATATCCGATTTTCTGGATAATCGATCCGAAAAATGAATTTGACTCAGATATCAGAGAATTTGGATAATGAATTCCAATTCAGATATGTAATTTAGCATTTTCGGGTATCCGATATCCGATATATAGGGCTCTTTTGTAAAAAACATGAAAAGATCAAGTTTGATTCCTAGTTGGATCACAATCCTTCCTCAATTTTCTCACATCCTTTTCCCCACTTTCCAGCCATCTTCATTCCTTATTAGTCCTTACCCTTTCTCACTCTCCAAATTCGGAAATTCCTAAAACCTACTTATATTCCTCCTAAAGTCCTCATCTATGCTATCATTTCTCATGTCATCTACCCCCTTCCTCTCTTCTCATCATCCTCCTCTAATCCAAGCCAAGATTTACAAAGCCAAAGCAAATTTGCTAGTGAAGCAAAAACCTAACCAATTCCAGAGTGATTAGATGTCAAACTAGGTAAGGTCATGTCCGCTACAAGGCCAAAAACTTCAGTAAAACCATAATGCCAAGAACTAGTGCCTTATATAGATTCATTGATCAAATGATTCACGCGTGGTAATCTAATTGATGGATCAATTGTTTTGTAAGGAAATAAATCAATTATTCACTCAATCGCTCTTATGTATGTTTTTATTAATTCTTCTTCTAATACTGTGTTTTATTGTCCCTAAAATCATCTTTAGCTCATTCATGGTAAATTGATAATACAACAGTAATATTCGGCACAGAAATTTTGTTGTGAATTTGATATATGTAAATATGTAACAATGAAGACTAGGCAAGGTACTGAAAACAACAAAATTTGGATATCAAATATCTATCCAATATTCAAAGTTTTGGATCAGATACAGAAATAATTTATATTGATCATCAGATTTGTGCTCAGCCCTAATTATAACAAGATAATTCCAGTACTCCACCATATACAAGGTCAATTTATATAAGTAAATCGTTACTGTGAAATGACAAGGCATAAGAAAGAACCTCAGGACCAAGGAACCGCTCATAGCCAATGTCACAACTGTATGGAGCTCCAGTCTTTGGTTTTATTCCTCTCCATTGCTTGATATATTTAGAGGGCTCCTTGTCATGTTTGTTGTACTCCTGACACACCAAAAGTTAGGTGACAAGTATATCAACTCAGCAACTATGTACAATTGAACTGTACTAGATTCAGATCAATTAAAGTAGTACCTTGACAATATCTGAAGAAGTGTAGCAATACATCTCCTTCACTTGTCGAGCAACTTCAAAGGAGTCTTCTGGTGGTACATTCTCTCCTCTTTCCTACAATAAATAACAAAAAAAAATGCAGAAAGAGCACAGTTGAACTACTGCAGAAATTTGAACGGATAGGAAAAAGCCCATATATAGCAAAGTGAGAGGAATTGGACATCCAAGCCATATATAAACACATTCCAACATCCATGATAATGAAGGGAGGTGAATTTCATTCCAAAGAAAAGAAAAGTTAAAGATAAGGAAACATAATCCTGCATGTACACAAGAGCAGAGAACACAAAGCACGCATTTGAAACCAAAAACCAAGGATAAATAATGGCCACACCGCCACACATGATTGAAAATTGATCAAAGGTGTAAACATAAATGGTAGCTAGCATCATCTTTACAATCCACTCTAAGCTAAAAGCATCCAGGACAGATTATATGAGCATCAGACCATTGATGAATCCACAGATTAGGCAGGAATTGTGTACCCTCTTTAAAAACAATTAATCACGTATGGGAAACAAAAGTAAGGCTCTAACTTTGTAGGAATATACTTTGTATCACATGCTTTGACATATTCCGCTGGTTACCGGTTCAAAATGAATTCCTCTGCCTTATAATTTTTTATTTTTTTTTTTTTTTTAATTTTTTTCGTGGGTTCTAGGCTCCATCTTGTTCAAACATCGTATTATGATTTTTTTTTTCTTTTTTCCATTCCACTAGTTTTCTTTCTTCAACATATTAATTCATCCATTTTCTCCTTCAGCATTTTTTTCCTTTAATATTGCTTTCATATTATACCCAAGAATTAAGAACTGAAATTTGACTAAATAAATGTATTTCCTCCACTATTTATATATCACAACAATTGAAGTTTCATGCATCCCAATGCTTGACTTCAACCAAAAATATCTTCAATTATCTACAAGTAACATACTTCCTCCTTTTTAAATATTGCACCACTTGCCTTTTAATGAAGTTTAACAAATCACAAATATTGCACCATATCCATTTTAGGAAAAGACATATCTATGTTCACAACTTTACACAACAAATACCCTATATAACCTTACTTTTTAACACTTAACTCTTTAGTTTATTTTTACAATCGCATGGGCAATTTTGTACATTTACCTTTCTCTCTCTTCCTTTTTCCCACTACCAAAAAATTTGTGCAAAACCCTTATGGTGCAATATTAAAAGAAAGGAGGAAGTATATATTAAAAAAAATAGTTTATATTCTGAAAGTTTACAGCAAGACAAACCTAATAAGACTCCACATAGCTATATTTTTCCTTGTGAAAAATCAAGGTAGGTCAAGGGGTAGTGAGTGAACAGTGTGGAAACTCAAATTTCCAAAAAAAGGAATGAAAAAGCGGTCTTAAGGATGTGTATAAACTTACTGAAACATTATTGAATAATAATTTTTTATAGTTGTGCATACCAAATCTGAAATTTCTGGCAGACAGTGCTTTTAATCATTATAATTATAAGTACATTTAAAAAAAAAATTGAAAAAAAATAATTTGAAAAAAATTATTGGAAAATTACCCGCATAAGCTGTTGGACGAAAAGGGTAACATCTTTTCCAGAAATGGGAATTGACTTGATACTGCTCCCAATAACATAGCCTTCTGCAACAGGTACAACATGTGTACCCCCATCTCCAACATCTACTACAACCCCTGTCATCTCACACTAATGAAAAATATCATCAATAAAATCAACATTATGCACTAAACACAAATCAAATGACGTGAAAGAAAGAAGACTTTGGAAATTCATATATATAATATGGCCACATGCATAAGTAACACTGAATCTTCTCTTCATATTAAACGACCAAGTTTAACAGCAACTCTATAGTATTCTGCATATGCAGCCACATGATAGCATCTTAATAATATTTGCCTTACAATGATGTTTCAACAGTAAGTGTACATCCACAAGAGTAGATCATTCCTAATTATTGGCCATCCTAAAATAACAGACAGAGCAGGAGCGAATAGGTGCCTTCCATGAGATGATTACATGTGACTTTGAGAATCCCTAATTCTTAAAAGCAAATTTTCAGGAAAATTATAGTTGCTGATTTACATTCTTCTAAAATAAAATCTATTTGAATTAGCTTTTTCATGGATGAGCCCTCACATACTGGCCAAAATAAATGGATGTATGAATTGGTGGTTCCTTTCAGTTCAGAGAATTGCCTAGTTTCAGTAATAAAGGAACTAAATATAGGACAAATAAAGACCAAGTGTCCTGGAGCCAGAAGCATGCTTTGCTGGAAAGGCAGCAAATTAACAGAAAGAATTCAGACTGTTTTTTACACTAGATGGACGTCACTTAAATATTTTTACAGAAATTACAAAAATCCTCAACACCATTACATCTACAGATCTACCACTCTCTGCAAGTTCAACATTGTACCGATACATCCAACAGTCATCACCAATTCCCCAAACCTCTGAAATGATGCTGGGAAGGCCATGAAAGGAAAAAAAGGACAGCATCACCACTGCATTTATCAAATTCCAAAAATGTGGATGACCCAATCCCTAACATATGTCCCAGCACCACTTATAAATCAGGAAAGGCTAATAGTTACATTGCCATAGAAGCGAAGCCATAGACTATTCTAAATTTCTAAAAATGAAGTAAATAGGGTATGTTATGTTATTTAAGTATAGAGTAAGGTTGCTTTCATACTTTATGCTTAGGAAAGCAGAATGTGGAAAAAGACATCACCATGAAATAATTCTATTTAGTGCCAAACAAGTACAGCAGTAGCTAGTGTTCAAGTTCATAATGCATTGAACTGACTTGAAACACCATAAATAGTCCAAAGTCATATTAGGCTATTAAATGTGCTACAAATCCATTTTGATGAAATCCAAACATCAAAATCATATAGCTAAACTGCAACAATCATTCAGTCACCCCATAACTGACTGGACTCAGGGTAAGCAGGTGTAAAGTTCATAATTCAATATAAAATGCAGAAAATATCACTCAATAGTCAATGCTAAATTGAAATTCATAAATGAAGAAATAACCAACCTTAGATGTAGTGTAACCAGCAGCTAAAGCTAGCACAGGCTGCACTGCTATGTAAAGCCCCGGGACATTGAAAGTCTCGAACATGATTTCCCCTGTATATTCCCGGCTTTCAGGAGGTGTCAGAGGACTTTCTGTCAGCAGGAAGTGATGATCCTCAGGATCACAGCGTAGATAGTTAAAAATACAATGTTGCCAAAACCTTTCCATAGCATCCCAGTTCTCTACCTGTCCATTCTTAATGGGATAGTTCAAACTATACGTACTACTAGACTTAGATCTCGCTAAAGCCTCGTCCCCGATGAAAAAATCCAAATCAGCCATAACACCAGCATTATATTGAGTCAACCAATTACTACTCTTATTCGATGTTCTCGGTTGGTTTACAAAAGAATCATTCACAGCAACAGTTGTTGGGACAATGAAGCAAGGCTCCACATTCCCAGAAAAACCCATTTTAGTATACCTGCAGTGATTGGTGGACAAGGTATTAAATTAAAAAAACACATTGTTTCCGGGAAATTTCATTTACTCAAGATGTGAAGCTAGAATTCAATGACTTCTACATTCTGAAGCAGAACAGAAGAATTCAAAATTTACACGCATTTAAGCAGACCTCAGTCATCACACGTCCACACTCACACTATTATAGAAGTATTTCCATAGAGCACCTTGTGCACATTACCACTGAAACTAGACGTTGTCAAAATGTCAAATAACCAACACCTCATGTAACCAGAATGGCAGAACTACCTAGTGTCAATCCGCATTCAACACCTTCTAATAAGCATCCACTTAGTTTTAACACACACTCAAGAACTTAGACCACATTCATCATTAGCACATTTCATCAACTATTTGTTGCGCTAGCTGAAAGCCAAATTTCCCCAAAATCCCCATAGCATATAAAAACTTGTGATCGACCCAATTCCAAAACAAAATTCAAAATGATGGCAAATGCCTGTTTGACCATTGATGCAATTCATCAATCACTTGGTCCTTAAAAAAATTCAATTTTTTCATACAGCGACACAGTGCTATAAAGTTTATCTACCATCAAGTCAAAGCTTAATCAAGCTTCAGATAAACAACACCAGCTTTCTTTTATTAACACATTTCATCAAACATTTGGTACAATCGCTAACTTTCAAGATTTCCCACAGTCAAACGCAGCATCAACCCCAATCCAAATCAAATATCACATAACAATATAAGGTCCATTTCATTATAATCTTTCATCACAGAGGCATTTCATCAAACACTTGGTGCGCAAGCTATGTTTCCGAAAGTTCCCACACAGCAACAAAACGTATGAAAAATCTACCATCGACCCAATTCATCATAGAGCTCAAATAACAATAAATCCCAGTTTTACACTACACCCAAACACATATATCAATATATACAGAATTATAGAAAGAGAAAAAGGTAAGAGAGAGAAATACCCAGTGCCATTGTCGATCACGACAGCAGGGCGATAAGAAGAGGCATCCATGAGAGAGAAAGAAAGCAAAAGCAGAGAGAAAACGATGAATTTGAAGAAGGACCTGCAACTGAGATCCGAGAGAAGGTTGATTGAAGGGAAATGATCATGGTCATTGAAAGCGCCACAAAAAGGGCACCAATGATAACAATGAATTCGATTCTACTGCTACTGTTATTGTATGATGATGATTAACACCTTCTCTTCTTGATGGTGATGATGGGTTGACACCAGTATAGTAATCTCCAAACATGTCAATTGAATTATGATTTTCCCCCAAATTGGCTAATAAGGGTTTGAATTCAACATGATTTGGGAAAATTGTTTGATTGTTTGTGTGAATGAGTAAATTTATATTTGAAGGTTGGATGATTATTCTTACCTTAGCAGCTAAACAAAAACAGCAACGACTCAACGACTCTCTCTTTCTTCTCTTCTCTCTCTTCTTTCTGTCTGTGTGTGTCTGTTTCTTTCTTGGTTCATGACATTGTGTAATTAATTGAACAAACACAGTGAGATTCATAGTTATTTTATGGGCCTCTTCTTTCTTTTCTTTGTGTTTAAAGATTTAAGCCCAATTCTCCCTCATCAAACATGAAAAAAAAGGTGGGAAAAAACACAAGGTTATTGTTTCTTTTAAATTTTTATTATCACCATCTCTAGACTCTCTAGTTGTGGAAATGTTTTTGAACATAAGATTTCATACGAGTATAAGTAATGGGCATGTCAGTCAAAAGTAAGTGCTTTGAATTGAATGTACGCTCGTTGAATAGAGGTAATATTTATCCTAATTTGACGGAGTTGAGCAACCAATATGACAGATATTTTCACAGTCAATATGAAAGATTTAATCCCAATTCCCCTCATCAAACATGAATGAATGAAAAAAAAAGGTGGGAAAAATTTGTGTCAACAAAGTACAAATAAACATAGGTTTTTGTTTCTTTTCCTTTAAATTTTTTTATCACCATCTCCATGTATGGAAATGTTTTTCAACGTAAGATCTCATACGGGTATAAGTAATGGGCATGTCAGTCAAAAGTAAGTGCTTTGAATCGAACGTACGCTTGTTAAATAGAGGTAATGTTTCATCCTAATTTGACGGAGTCGAGCAACCAATATGACAGATATTTTCACAATCAACATGCACTTAACATTTAACATGAACCTCGAGTTAAGGATATTTTATGGTGCTCTCATATTTTGAATATTTAAATCGGAATATGAGAGCGCCATAATAAAAATAATAGAATATATGGTGTAACAATTGAGTGAATAAAAAGAAGAGTTACTTATAGTGGATTGTATTGTTATGTCCTTTTCATTAGGGTTTGTAATGTTAAATCTTGGGACAAGTTGTAAGTGATAAGTTGATGATGTAGAAAGACCTCTAATACTATTGATAATAGGCGCGCGAAAATACTAGAGAAGCAAACAACTCTCGACTCTTTAGATAAAATAGATCACCAATATCTTTAGCTTGAGATTCTTGTTTAGTGCTTGTTGACTATGAAAATATGTCATATTCATTGATAGCCTTCGTCAAACATGCCCATTACTTATATGAGATCTACTTAATTAAATAAAATGCATTCCATGTATTGTTTTTGCAAGTCCAAAAAGCGTAAAAGAACAAGCTTTGATCATCTAATGACAAACATCCATAAAGGAAATTGTCAAACCCCATATTTGTACTCCTTAGTGCGACATGAAAGTTGTATCCCCCCCGTTAGTTTCTTGTGTTAGGGCAGTTAAGAGATTTAGAATTTCTCATTGCTCTATTTGTAATCTCGAGTTGGTTGGGAACTACCCTTCTTTTTCCACTTCGTCAAAAAAAAAAAAAAAAAAAAAAAAAAGCCTAAAAAAAACCTAAAAAAAAAAACATATTTACTTGACCTTTTTTTAGGGTAAGTAGAAGGCTCATCCTAGAAGGGGGAAATCCCTTCTAGAATGAGCTTGGTGAGATTCAACCCCTGGCCTCACACTTGGAAGTCGGAGAACTAGCCAACCACTCTAACCTCCTATCTCATTTGCTTAACCTTGTTTTCATATGCTATGACACCTTCTATAACGCATACATGACATAATTGATGCATACTATTTCAAGTATTTTTTTTTACCCTTAAGTATATCCTTAGTCCAACATATGGGATATATATTGTACTTCTCTAATTCATTTTTTGGTTAATTTTAAAGTTTCTTCGATTCATAAATTTTGGATTGATTTTGATTCTTGTTAGGAGAATAAAGATAAAATATTCTTTCATAAAAGTTTAGTTTAAGCTCATAACTCTCCATCAATGTCTAAACATACATGGTGCATGCATGTAAGATAAAATAAAGCCACTGAATTAATATTTATTTCATTAACACGGGACCTAAGCTAAGTTGCAATGTGATGTATGACAAAAAAATCATTGGTTTTAAATGCACATGAGAAAATGCTCTCCAATCTCCATCACTAGCCCTTATCAACTTACATTCACAAATCATCAAACTATAATCAAAATTATTTTAGTGTTTAGAGAGCCATAAGGGCGAGTGAAGAGAATCGATTCCAGAATCATCTGACGCCGAAAGGGAAGCTTTAACCACCTGAGCTATCCCTCACTCTCAAACTACAAATAATCAACATACATTTATACATTGTTTACATATTAAACATGAATGATCATGCAAGTTGCCTTTTCCATGGTTGTAACTTGTAAAAGAGGAGGATATGTTAGTTGTTAGAGAGAATACCAACAAGGGATAAAATAAGGGTTTGCTTTGACTAGTTAGGTTCATTCGAAAGTGGTATGGATCAAGTACTACTTTGGCCTAAGCTTTGATGAGAGGGAAGACAATGTGATTGACATTTAATCAAAAGTCTTTATTTTATTTTATAATATGAAAAATAAATTATTTGATTCAATATCGTCAATTTTTAAAATCAGACAATTTTTATTAAACACGCAAATAAAATAAACAATAAACACAAGGTTGAGATCAAGAAAGACAATCATTATTTGGATAAATTGTTGATCTAGTTGAGTTACATGTGCATAACACATTTCCATTTCATTGCCACTAATGGAGGGATATTGACAACAATGATTTTCGACTATCATATGTAATATCCCAAAAACATAAAGTAATCGACAAGTCGATTGCCACAAGCCATTATTAAAACTTTCTTGCTTTGGTAACTATTTCAAAACTTCTTAAAAAATAAAAGTTTATTTGATTATATATATATTTTTTGAAACAAACCAACGAAAGACTTATATTAATAGATCGTTCGAAGCTACATTCAAAACAAGAGTTGGGATTACATCATTCCACACTCTCCAACCAAATTCTCATGGTTGAAAATGGGCCAAATCAACAAATTTGATTATAATTTATAATATATAGTAAAACTAGTTGGGATGAAATGCAAATTACAATTACCAATCAACAAAAGAGAAAAAATAAATAAAAAAAACCTTTATTGATTCAGTAACTATTCTAAAATTAAATCTCTTTAAAACAAAACTTTTAATAACAATACATATAGTATAACTAGTTAGCATAATACACAAACACAAATGTTGAGTGGGTCTATTTACAGTTAGTCTACCCACCAAATACATATAATCCCAAAAATTGATATGTCCAATAACTTATACGGAGTTCTAAATCTCAAAAGTTAGAGATGTTCAAAACCCAATATAAAATGTTCGATAACTTATAACTATTTCAATATGAGTCCAAACTCATACAATGCTTTTCATATGCGAAATAAAATTACCAATAAAATACAAAGGGGTATGAATGCTTGATTTATCTTTCAAGTAATGTATAATGGAAAAATTCTTGTACTTTAATATGAGATGATCTCAGAATAACTTATACTTCCTCCATTCTTTTTTACTTGACCCGCTTTGACTTATACATTATTCACCGCCCCTTCTGGGGTAGGTAGGGCTGGGTAAGAAGGGGTCCCCTGTTGCCAATAAACTTTTCCCGGCCTTACTTTTGACCGTCTTTTGTGAATTATATGTAAGTAAAAACATAATCACGTGGGATCCTGTTAGATTCGTCTCAATAAGTACTATCATAATATATAACTTCTATAAATTTTGGGGAATTATAGTTATAAATTGTTAAAGTTCTGCATTGACAAGCGTGATAAATGAAATAGGTCAAATAAAAAAAACAGAGGAAATAATATAATATTGCACAATTCATACATCAACTTACTACTTAGTACTTCACTCGCTTCACAATGTCTGTCACTTGTCAAATATCAATGCACTAGTACGTTTGGCCCTAAATACAAGTATAAACTTGAGCTATTTATGGTATCGTAGTTGTAGGAAATGGCTCTTGTCTCCTATCCTAAATTTGATCAATTTTACTATATTTACCAAGTATGTTATGTCTAATAATGAACTATGCAAATACTCTTATTGGTCATTAGTGTAATAAAGTAGCTATTAGTCCATAGTTATTTATCAAATATTTTTACATAGATAAGTAATACAAACAACTAGTTTTAGCAACTCATTCAAATAGCTCGTTGACTCGTCGTTATATAAAGTGTATAAATAAATTAAAAATAGACCAATAATAAAATGGACTCAACAATTAACATAATTTAGTTGGTTGAAAAAATTAAGAATAGGCAAAGGTAGAGCCCACAAAAATGACTAATCACAAAAATGTAATGGGTTTAAGTTGAGGCCAAGATAGAAATGCCCAATTTTTGCTCATGTTACTTGTCTCCCTCTCACAATCATTACCTACCCCCTTTCTCTTTCTCTGTCTCACTCTTCTTTCTCTACTTGTTCTTCTTCAACCCCAACAAATTTCTATTCAATTTCATACCCTTTTCTTTTTTCTGATTCTGATTCTGATTCGCATTCTTTTCAATTTTCACCAAATTTCATTTATTATTCTTAGTAATCTCTCTCCTTAATTTGATTTCATCTTCATTATTTTATTTAATAAAATTCTGATGCTCTGCTGCACTTCATCAGTGTCAATTTAATGGATCTGCAACCCACTATTTTCTCTCTCCTCAACCCACCATTTTCTCTCTCCTTCAATGTAGAAGCAGCAGCACCATAAAATACCCATTTTCTCTCTCCTCCAAAAACCCCCATGAATCCTCTCTGCTGCATTGCTCCTGTTTCCGTCGATCGTGAAAAACCACCCACCGGAAATGTCATCGGAAAACCGCCGGAAATCGGGTTTGAATCCCTTAAAAACCAGAATCACACTCAAATCACCGGCAACAATGGCGGAATCAATCTGGGTTTTTCTCGGCACAGTTACTCTGCGCAAGTTTCGTCGGTGAGTAGTAGTACTGCAGCGTTGGATCAGGTGCATCATCACGAAGCAGAAGATGTGATGGTGATGAGTGGTAGAGATTCGAGGGTGTATGGTAGTAATGGTGGGGGTGCGATTGCTGGGATTCTTTACAAATGGGTCAATTATGGGAAAGGGTGGAGGTCAAGGTGGTTTGTGTTGGAAGATGGGGTTTTATCGTATTATAAATTGCATGGTCCGGATAAGATTATGGTTTCGAGTACGGGTTCTGGTTCCGGTTCCGGTTCCGGTTCGAGTCCCAGGAGGGAGAAGGTTGGGGTGAGAGTTATTGGGGAAGAATCTGTTAAGTATATGAAGAAGAATGGTACTAATAATGGTAGTGGAATTAGTACTAGTAATAGTAATGGTTTTAGGATTAGTAATAGTTATAGTAATTTGCCAACTTATAATAAGCAATGGAAGCCTTATGGGGAAGTACATTTGAAGGTGTGATTTTGATTTTGACTTTGTCTTTGCCTTTACATTTGTGGTAAAATTTTAGCTTTTCTTCTAATTGCTGTTGTGTTATTTTTGTTGTTGTTTTTATTTATGTGTTTGGTGTATTGAGAGTGATTGTAATGTGTTTGTTTTGTTAGATATGTTGTGTTTTTTAAGGCCGGTTTCGGGTTAGGCTGTAAGATTGCTGGACCTTTCTAGACTAATAATGGTGTGATTGGATCTGATGGTTCATCTGCTAAAGCATTGCATTGGATAGAGACATAGAGTATAAAGAAGAAAACTATAAGAAATTGGGCGTGACCAATGTTGGTGTGGATCCAAAGAGATTGATTCCATTAATTAGAAACTTAGAATTAGGCACTTTGGCTGGGAAAAAAAAGTTGTGTGTAGAATAAAATCACATTTTGAAAAAAAGAGATTGGTTCAGTGTAAGACTAAGGTAGTTCTTTGTCTGGTTGGTTGAATCAAAACTTGTGGTGAGTTATCTGTGCAAGTATTGTTGAAGCATTTCAATGCATGCAGGTTGGAGGGGGAGAGTTGGTTGGCTTTGTGGTTGAAGTGAAAATTCAATATTTTGACAGCACCTTTTGGTGGAACGTTGTTGCATTGCAATTGCAGGAACCTTTTTTTTTTTTTTTTTTTTTTTTTTTTTAATTTTTTTATTGTAGGTTTTTGAATCCTTTTTAGCCCTTAAATATCGAGTTAGGAAGATTATTCTTTTGAGAGGTGTAGTGGAATTTTTTGTATCATGTTTAACTGCCAAACTTGAATATTTTTGCTATGATCAAGTATCCCTCTTTTTGATAAGTTTCCTGGGACCATGTGTATGGTCAAGAACTAAAGACTGTATTGTATAAAGAATGTTTGAGGGAAGGTTTGAACAAAACAATGTATATATGATTTTACGAGACTGTGTTATGTCTGATGTACTTTTTTTTCCTGAGGTCTGCCTTATCTTTTCTATTTATTATTGAATGATACTATGTTAGTCCCTTTAATTACATTTTTCCTTTGGTAGAACTCTGATTTGCTGTGCCGCTGTTTAGTCTGAAGTTTAAGAATTCATTATCCTTCCAGTCACATACTATGTGCTTTTCCAATTTTGATGAGACGTGCTTATTTATCATTATTAATTATTCCGTATTGAGGAAAAGGTTCTGATACTCGTATTATAGTTGACATCTGTCTGTTATTCGTTCTGTATTGGAACTGGCAGTTACAGAAATGAAGTTGGCATGAACTTCCTGTATAGAAGCTGTAGTTTCCTGCAAATATGCTATTAGCTCGTGATAGTTGAGTAGCTGTTATTCTCCCCAGAGATGGCTTGTTTATTGTTGTTGGTGCATTGCAGGTTTCTTCCATTCGTGCAAGCAAGTCAGATGATAAAAGACTGAGTATATATACGGGTACCAAAACTCTTCACTTACGATGTGTCTCCAAAGAAGACAGAGCAGCATGGATTGAGGCACTCTTAGCTGCAAAAGATCTTTTCCCCCGGGTGTTGACAAGCAATGAATTTGCCACTGAAGACATTGTTGTGTCAACAGATAAGCTTCGACGAAGGATGTTGCAGGAAGGCATTGCTGAGCCAGTGATTGATGATTGTGAGTCTATTGTGCTCATAGAAGTCTCTGAGCTGAAAAATCAGTTTGAAGCTCTTCAACAAAAACATGTCTCATTGCTGGAGACTTTGAGACGGTTAGAGGTATCAACCAATTTTACTAGAATTCTCACATTCTTTGACTAATATAAAGCAGTCTGAGCATTGAACTTGTAGAATATATTTTTTTCAATTCTATTGAAATAAATGGCGGTGCCTGGGTGCTATGACATGACCTCATAACTTTTAATGTGGTACAAGTAAACTATAAGATTTATACTTTTCTTTGCTGCCTTTTGTTCTTTGCTATATTCTTTTAACAACTGCTACTATCTTCATGTATACATATTTTTTTTTCTTTTATGGATCAACCTACCAGAATATACTTTCCTTTGAGGTCCTCGTTTGACATTTAATTCGCATATATATACTGTTTACATTAGCTCTTTGCATGGTATCTTGATTCTTGAGTTGTATAGAGTTTAATCTGCGACTTCTGTTTCCTTGCTTGCCTTTTTATGACATGGATTCTATTTATTGGGATTTAATCTCCAAATTCATTTCTATAGCACATTGGACATCTAGGGCAAATAAACTTATATTGTGGTTACTTTCTCTGTCATCACTAATCAAGAATCCCTGAATCTTGAGAGTGAGGGATAGCTCAAGTGGTTAGAGCTCCCCTCCCGGTCCCAGGTGATCCTGGGATCGATTCTCATCACCCGCCCTTGTGGCTCTCTAAATACCAAAAAAAAAAAAAAAAAAAAAAAAGAATCCCTGAATCTGATATCAGTGTTTCCTGCCAAAGATCACTTAGGCATATAAGATATGTTTGTACTGATTGATGGATTCATATGGAATGGAAAAATGCTCAAATTTGAACATAATCTTATATTTGTCTCCATTTTGATACAGTTAATCCATGTTACAAGTTGAATTTTTTTTTGTTATATGGCATCTTATGGTGAGATCATTTGTGAATTTCTCTGGCTTTCAGAGTGAGAAGATAGAATTGGAGACTACTGTGGTAGATGAAACAAAGAGAAGAGATTCTTGTTGTGGGCAAGGAAATAGAAGATTCAGCGGTTAGTGGTGCATTTGTCTCATTACTCTATTCTGCCCCCTTTGCCTTCATTATTCTTTTCCTTCAGTTTTCATCTGTGACACCTGCTGGTGAGAGTTGGAACAGCCAGCAGTAATTGTATTGCAATTCTTATTGACCGTGTAACCATTGCTGTTATCTCTCGTTCTTGTGAAATATCTTCCTAAACCATCTATTTTTGGAACTGTTGTCTGTTACACCTACAGTTTTATGCTCTGTACTTCACGCCTTCTTATGTTTTTATACTTCATCTCTTTCTAAATTTGTTTTTAATATTGCATAGACTTTTAAGTTCACTACATATTCTTATATATCTTTCAGAACTTGTTAATATTGTTGCATAGACTTTCAAGTTTCACTACCTATTTAAAAAAAGGTTTGCTTTAAGAGGACCAGGAGTCTCCTCTCTCTTGAAATTTGATGTAAGAAAAATGAGCTATGGATACTTATTATTTGTACTTATAAAAAATATAGAGAGTATTAATTTGATCCCCTTCCTCAAAACCCAAATTATTGAGCTATGTGTGCTTGATTGTTTCTTACTCTGGTTTGTTGATGAAGTCTGATTACTATTACAAATAATCTGAGCTCTTTCAAACCTTGCAGATTTTTATTCTGTCATGTCTGAGGGTAGTGGATCTGACTCTGATGTTGAGAATGAGAGTCAAGATGGTGGGGATGCTGAATCAGATGAAGATGGTGCATATTTTGATACAAATGATTACTTGGCTTCGGAGTTTTTAAGAAGTGCCTCTTGTCGGGGAAGGGAATCCTTCGCAGACGCTTGCAGTTCACTGGGACAGGATTGTTCACAGGAGCTTCAAATGGGCATTAGACCTGTGGAGTACCCTTACATAAAAAGAAGGGATAGTTTTCCAGAGCCGAAGGAAAAGGAAAAACCCATGGGCTTGTGGTCAATTATCAAGGACAATATTGGGAAGGATCTCTCTGGAGTTTGTCTTCCTGTTTACTTCAATGAACCCCTATCTTCACTGCAGAAATGCTTTGAAGACTTGGAATATTCAAACCTGGTGGATCGAGCTCTTGAATGGGGGAAGCTGGTAAGATTATCTACCAGTTTCTTGGTCTTGCTTAGAAGTTCCTTGTGGTGATTACTATGTGATTAGATTTATTTTTTTCTTAAAACTGATGTAACTATTCTGCTGTTTTAATTTTTTTTTTTTCTCTTTCCCAACCTAGAGAATAGTATGATTCATGTATAAATGTTTTAAATAATACCTTTATATTTTAAACTATTGAGTTTCGAATGGCTAGTGTAATTTTATACCTGTATATCTGCATTCTTGTAAGAAGCGTGTATGCTCTTTATAATTTTCTGGATATAAGAATAATGGGGCGATAGGTACTCTCTTATAATCCTTCCTGAAATTGTTGGCTGTGGGATGGTCTTGTACACTAATTCTCTTCATTGACTTTGCTTTCACTTTCAATCTTTCTTGATTATCTATGATGCTCTCAAGTCCTCTATTTCTATAATTAAGTTCTATGCTAAGAAAATGATTGCATTATTGCAGGGAAATGACTTGATGAGAATCTTGCATGTAGCTGCGTTCGCAGTATCTGGCTATGCTTCAACTGAAGGTCGCCAATGCAAACCTTTTAATCCTCTTCTTGGAGAGACTTATGAGGCTGACTACCCAGACAAAGGCCTTCGTTTCTTCTCTGAAAAGGTAACTGCTTTCTTATATACTGAAACTTTATAGTTAGTGTGATTTAGAACCTGTTTCAAGTCAAGAGTATTTAGATTGAATTTTTTTTCTTTGTAAAGTTTTTCGTAAATGGTTATAGTGTTTTGCCTTTTTGGATTGGGATATTATTACCTGCTACCGCCAAAAGCTGGTATAATTGGATCAGCTATTGTATCACTTCCATATGCTAACTGGAACTTGTGGAAGCTGCAGGTCAGCCACCATCCTATGGTTGTCGCTTGTCATTGTGAGGGCAAAGGCTGGAGATTCTGGGCTGACTCTAATCTCAAGGGTAAATTCTGGGGGCGCTCCATCCAACTGGATCCTGTTGGTGCCCTTTCTCTTCAGTTTGAGGATGGTGAGACATTTCAGTGGAGCAAGGTGACAACTTCCATATACAACATCATAATTGGTAAAATTTACTGTGATCATTATGGAACCATGCGCATCAAAGGCAGTGGAAATTATTCCTGCAAGCTGAAATTCAAAGAGCAGTCTATTATAGAACGGAATCCACATCAGGTAACCCTTTTGAACTAGCTATGTAGCTTGAATATGGATGTCAAGAAGCAGATCGATGTTCCTGTCAAAAAAAAAAAAAAAACTATCATATCAACGTTCCTGCACTTAGATGATTTGTTATGGCGCCCTTCTCTGTTGCTAGAGTATCATAATTTTCAAGGAACTTAAGCTATAGTTCTCTAAATCTTCTTACACAAAATAATATTAAATGTGAATAAGAGATTAGTTACAAATTAATTTGTAATGACTTGGTATCAATGTTAGGATTTAGCAAATCAGTCCATGCCATGGGATGAGACATGAGTTTTTTTTTTTTCCAAGAATAAGCCTTTTTTGGTTTCAAATATTAGGAAAAAGGTTGGAAATATGAAATCTTATTCATGCTATTTGCTTTTGCCTTGTTTTATTTGTTTTTTTTTGTTTTTTTTTTTTGGGTCTAGTCTGATACACTAAAAGTCTAAACCCCAAAGTAGGTTGTGAAACACTAGCTCCCCATTTTGTTTAAGTTTATTACATTACAGGGTTTCAGTGATATTTCACTTTACTTTGTTCCTCCATTTACTGGGGTTTGAGAGGGACAAAAAACCAATTTTTTGGCTCAAGCTGTCACGGTTGCCAATGTTCAATTTTTGTTGCTGGTTATCTTCTTGTTGCTTCAAGTTATGCATTTATGCTAGAGGAAGTATAGCATGAATTCGTTAATGCATAGTCTGAAGGAGAAATAATGATCTTGTACCCCCAAATTTTTTGCTTTCATTTTCCAGATCTTTTCTTCAAATTATGCCAGCGAGTCATGTGTAATTCTGTGAGCTTTGTTCATTTGTTCTTATACTTACTGATTTGTTTTACATTTTCCTTTACAGAATTATGTTCTTTTTAGGCTTTGCTTTTGCTACGGAGTAACTTGAGTTGATTTTCAAACTGTATCGATTTTCTATACTTTGAACGGTTTTGTTTACTTGTGTTTACTTATTTTCCAATCCAAGAAATTTTATTTGGAAAGGGATGGATAATCTTTTTAACCTATTCATTCTTAACCTATACACGCAATAACTTGTGGAAATTGGAAACCATTTCTCAAATGAAGCTACAACTGCTTGATAACTGAACCCTAAACCCCTTCAACTTATATCTGATATATTTTCATACCTCTTCTTGAACCAAATGGGATTTGAGTTGTTTCCCGGAGCTATTACTAGGGCGGTCACAGATTGTCTTGCTTTAGTATCAAGCTATGTTGTTTATATACATGATCTTATGTCGCCTGTTATTTCCTATGGCTTGCAGGTTCATGGTTTTGTCCAAGACAACAGAACTGGTGAGAAGGTTGCAATGTTGGTAGGAAAATGGGATGAGGCGATGTACTATGTGTTAGGAGATCCAACCACAAAGCCAAAGGGCTATGATCCGATGACAGAAGCTGTCTTGCTCTGGGAGAGAGAAAAAACTGCTACAAAGACTAGATACAACCTCACGCCTTTTGCAATATCTTTGAATGAGTTGACTCCTGGTTTGCAAGAGAAGCTGCCACCAACTGACTCGAGGCTTAGGCCAGATCAGAGACACTTGGAAAATGGTGAATATGAGCTGGCAAATGCAGAGAAACTCAGACTTGAACAGTTGCAAAGACAGGTATGTGTTTGCCTGAGTAAAGCTCATTAACAACTCATTACAGGACATCTATTTATCCACCCCACCTACCATACCAATTACCATAGGATGTTCTACAGATTAAAAGCTAGTTATGCTAGTCCAGAGATGAATGTCTCTTGGGTAATAGTAATTGTATGAGTAATAGTAATAATTGTGCTAGAATTTATATATAATGTTATTGTTCAAATAACATGAAGGTCAATATGGTAATGTCTTGGCCTCCTGGTTAAGCCAACTGTTTGCAGCACAAGTATTAAGTGTTGCCCCTGAAATCATGTCCTCTTAGATTAAAGCTGGCTTTTTATTGAAATTTCTTTCTGCTGTCACCAGTCACTTGCTCACATATTTTTGTCAGGTTAAAGGGTTTTGCGCATGCCTTACCTATGTCAGAAGTTATTTAAATAGACTTAGATTTCTGCTTCATTGGTATTAGTTTTGAGCAAAATCTTCTTAGTTTGTCTGTCAACAAGGCACAAAGCAGATTTTAACTTTCTTAAACTTGCTGCAGGCAAGGAGGATCCAAGAGAGTGGATGGCAACCAAGATGGTTCCAGAGAGATGAGGATGGATGTTATCGTTACATTGGTGGTTACTGGGAAACAAGGGAAAAAGGTAGTTGGGAAGGAATTTCTGATATATTTGGACAGAGGAGCGATATACTCCAATCCTGTAATAGTATACCAGAAGAAGAATGAGTAATCTGGGCTGAATTGAACTGAACTATCATTTTCCTCTCCAGAAAGTCTTTTTTTTTCTTCCTGTTCCACAGTTTCTTTACGTGGAAGGGGATATCTTGGAATTCCTCAAGAAATTGTACCACCATTGTTGTTAGGTGTAGGTGTAGGTGTAGCTACTAGTTAGTGTAAGTTGCATTAGATCATTTGTTGTAGGTCCTCGGTTTTTTACCCCGCTTTAACTGAGTACTACATGTTGGTGCTTCTGTCCTTGCTGCTAGCCAGTGCAGCAGATTGTATGGCCAATATTGAGGCTGGTATTCGCTACTCGTATGAATATTTATCCCAAGAGAAAATTGAGAGAAAAAAGATATAAAGTTGCAGCTGTAGTCATTTGTACACAAGTCTGAGCAGTACTACTTGGCCCCTATGCTTTCCTTCAGAGTTGGATGCAGATTTTGTATGACATGATAATAGAAGTGCTACATTAGACACTGGTTCAATTCTTGGCTGGTGCAAATACAGGCTGAAAAAAAAATGCAGTGCTGTTACTTCTATATTTTATGTAGTCTATGACTGGTTTGATTCTCGACTGCTGCAAATACATGTTGAAAAAAAGAAATTAGCCGTGCTACATTGTTGTGGAATCTATTACCCATTTAGCCTGGTTCGATTCTCGGCTGGTGCGAAAATGATAAATGTAGTGCCACATTATGTATTTATAAGCAACCTATGTACTCCTTATTCGGATCTAAGAAACTAGCCAGCCTTCAAGAAACCAAAACAAAAAAAACGATGTGGAGAAAATTTCGAGTTCAAGTTTTGACTCAAACAAATCATGCTTGTAATTAGTACCTTGTAATACCCTATTCATATAATAGTACAAGAAATTTATACTTAAGGTAAAAGATATATTCGTATTACAATTTTGTCATATACTGTAATATCAAAGATATGTATGAGCTTATGAGCTCAACTCAAGTCATAATTTTAGTTCAAACTCGAGTTGTTACGTACACAAACTAGTCAAGTCAAGTTTAGCCGAACCCAAAACATTCGAAAGCTACTGTACTATATTCACGACTCACGAGCTCCCCTAAGACTCCAGGTGCGTTAGAATCTATTTTCAAAACCCAGCTTGCCAAGACTCATCTTTGTGAACAGACAAGAGGGCTCTATCTGTATATCCTCAAATTCATCTGAAACTGAGTATATACTTCTTCATTCCATCAAGGTGATTACTCCTATCTAATATCTATTGCTAAAAACTCCTCATTTTTAACATTAATTTCAATTGGTTTTTTCCAGTTTTAACATTCATGATGCATAAGAGTTTGCTGATTTATTACCCAGTCTATCAAATGTTGTTGGTTTTTCCATGAATTTTGAATCTGGATTTTGTTTATCTTTGTCAATATTACAAGTGCTGATTATTGTGTTTGAATTAATTTTGTTGCAGCCCCAGAATTATCAATTATAGAATGTTATTCATTTGTCGCATAATATGAAGCTGCATCATTGGCCAAAAAATTCAGTTAGTGCAGCTAAAAGAAATGGGTTTCTCTCCCGTAATTTTGTGAATAATTACCAGGTTTCCTCTTTATCTCTCTCAGTCTATGATTTTTTAGTTCTGTCATTTTGATACTATGTTTAATTTTCCTTGTGAATTTCTTAAATTTAGGGTCCATTATTATAGTAGTTGTAAATTCAACTTGGATAACCCTTATTACAATTTATCGTAACTTGTTTAATACAACTTATCTCAGTAGAAATAAAGTGAACAGAACAAGGCCTTAGTTTCAGTTCAATGAAAAATAGAGTAGTGCTCTAATGAATTGGAAATACCAATATGGCAATGTAATATTTCATTGACCAACACTGTTAATACTACCTCCATTTCATATTATTATGTGCAAACGTTTAAACGTTTACTAAAAACAGCTTCTACATATTACATGCAACAAATGTTTCTTGTCTTTGTAAGTTGTCATTTCACTCTATCTCTCTCATCATCATATGCATCTCAATCTTTTCCCTCTCCATTTAACACTCACTTACAAATTTTACGTAGGAGTCCATGCAAACTCATTTGTTGCAAATAATTTGAAACCGAGGTAGTAACTTTTTTATTTGGGTGTTGGTTATGTGTTTATTGGCAAGTGAAACCATGAAATGTGATGTTATATATCCTTTGTTCCTTAGAATGCTCCCCAACTGAAGCTATGTCACGAGGAATCTGTGTCAAAATTGCTAGACAGAAGATGGGCATTAGAAAATCCAGATACCAAACTTCACCTGATCACAATTTCAATGAAGGAAACACCAGCAAAGGGTGGAGTTTTTGGGAATGTGAAGTTTTCAATGGATGCAAATCCTAAATTGGGTGATGCTATGATGGATGAAAGATGCAAAGATCCTTCATTTTACGTCATAAGAGATGACCTTTTACACCCGTTTGTCAATGGAAATAAAGCAAGGAAACTGGATGCTTTACTTCCTTTAATTGAAGATTGCTCAGGCACTGATGTGGTGAGTTGCTGCTTTTGCTCCCTGTATCCATCATAGCATTTTAGTAACTTGATAGTTGATACTATAAAAGCTATTCTAAACTGTCTTAATAGTCATTTGTTGCTGTACTCGTGAACAAGAATCAGTTTACGCTAAGATGATGCTACTGAATTCTGTTAGGTTAGACGAATAAATACCTCTATGCTTTGTGTTTATCTTTGCTCTATCCAAAATTTAGATGTATGGCTATTACTGTCAAAGTGTCAAGCTCAACATTTGACTGCTTTCTTTATATTGTGGGTTTCATTCACTCTGTACGTTCTTTATCATATCTTTTCTTGTTGAATCATTGTTTTAGCATTAATGATCATTACAACATACTAGCTATAGGTGCCATCTCTGCGTTTCAATGTTTGTGACCATGTAATACCCGACTGGTGTGCTTTCTAGGTTACCTGTGGAGGTTGTCAAAGTGCACATGCAGCTGCTGTGGGTAGGTCATGTGCATTGGTGCTCTCTCCCACATACTAAGATTCTGTTTATAATTAGGAATTGCTAATTTATCTAAGGGAATGAGATGCAATGATTGGCTTCATTTTTTTGATTTGTTCTCTGCAGCTGTCTCATGTGCAGAAAGAGGTCTTAGGTCACATTTGCTTCTTCGAGGAGAAGAGCCAGGGATTTTGACTGGATTCAACCTAATATCATCTATATACGGAAATGTAATATATGTGCCGAGATCCCTGTATGCCAAGAGAGAAGAAATGCTTCTTAGGCATGCAAATGTTACTGCAGGTCCCAGTGGTTCTGTGGTGTGGCTCACTGATATTCTTTATAATTTCACTGATTTAGCAAGTGGAAAGTACTGCACGCAAACAAAGGCAAATAGAAATACTGAGGATGGCATGAGGAAAGTTGTAATTGTTAAGGAGGGTGCAGGGGATGCTGTGGCTTTGCTAGGTGAGAACAGGCATCTGTTAAGCATTGATAGGGTTCCCACATCATTGATAACTTGGTATATCATATCGTCCTGTTTCTTTAAATACATAAAGTTGCTGAATTTGATTTCTGAGATGCTTTTTATATCTTGATGTAATGCATAATATTCTACTCTAAGGATATGCTTGGATTGAAGGTAATGTATTAAGGAAAGAAAAAAAAAAAAAAAGGGTCAAACCAAGAAAAATTAATGTAAATGAAGATGATGCTAAAGAGGATGGGGTATTGATAAATGAAAGATGTTAGTGGTGGTGTGAGGAAAAGAGAGGGATGGGAATATTATTAGCACACTAGGATAACAGATACCCTCAAAATGAGGGTAATAAGTTCACCTCCCTCTCTAATCATCACATCTTGATCCTTGCAATCACACCATCACTACCTCATTTTTCCTTACAAATACCATCAAAATGAGGGTAATAAGTTCATTTTCTTTAGTTTGACCTTTTTTACTCTCTTAGTATATATTACCCTCATTCCAAGCATGCCTTAACGGTATAATCATTGTGCACAGCCTAAATTATCATATCCTTATTTGGCCTACTATAGTTGTTGCAGTTGATTAATACTATGTAATGAGTATGTTCGTATCTTCTCAATGCTTGAGATAATATTCTTCCAACTTCCAAGTGACCATGAACTTATGATACATATGTCAGAGTATTTTTATTAGGAATATGTTGGAGTATTTAGGACTGAACCACAAGTGCTAGACAAACATCAAGCACTGTTTAGTAACCTTTATGCCACTCGTGTTTCTTAGTGTCAAACTCCGTTAATTGATGAAAAATTTCCATGCTCTTGGTCCAAAATAAAGTGCTAAGTGTCCATATTCATGTCATAGTGCGATGATCCAACATGGGGTAATTGAGGTTAAGTGCAAATTCTGGGTAATATAGATATTAAAAAAAAAAAATCGTATAGTTGTTGCATGCACTCATTTGGGATGATTTATATTAATGTCATGTTTGTCACCCTTCTACTAAAACCTTAATCTGTTTGAATTAAAATGTAAATTGTACAATTTTTTTCCCTTTTGATAATAGTGATATAGGGATTGTTTATTTCTGTTTAAATTTTGATTCTTGCAGGGATCATTCGCCTACTGAGTTACTTGTCCCAAAGCCATATACTAGGGAAAAAGAGGCCATATAACTTTGTGATTGATGCGGGTACTGGGACAACAGCAATTGGTTTTGCCCTTGGAGCCTTAATTCTTGGGTATGGTTTAAATTTCTGTTTTAAGATACTGCGTTGTTTCTTGTAGAAACATGTGAATCATGCTGTCGATAATAATCAGGCTGCCGTGGAAGGTAACTGCTGTAATGCTGGCTGATTCCTATGATGGATACAAGAATCAGGAGAATCGTCTGATTTCAGATTATAAGAGATATGCACCAGCTGATCTTTGCAATTATGAGTTGAAGGATGACCTTGTTCAGTGGGTCAATCGTAAAACTCCGAGAAAGTGAGTTATAAGTATTCAAGTACTCTGGTGAACAGTTACTCTAATTGAGTAGTTGTTTCAC